CACACACACACACACACACACACATTAAAAAAAATAGTAAAAGAAAAAAAAAAAGAAAAAATCAAAAAGAAGAAAAGCCCTGGAGATGAAGTTCAGTGTGAAGGCCTTAGCTTCATCCCAGTACATAAAAAATTAAAAAGGGGGCAAGCCAAATAGCTCAGCAGGTTAAAGTACCTGCAAGCAGGCACAGGGGTCAGGGGTTTGATCCCTGGGCCTGCCATGCCAGCCCTGCCTCCAGGGCATGCTGAGACAGGGATTGAGACTGGGCGTGGTGGTGCGCACCTGTAATCCCAGCTCTTGGGAGGCTGTAAACAGGCGGATCACTACAAGTCCGATCTAGTAGTGAGACCCTGAAGACCCTGTGGACTCTTCCCCAAAATACAAAATAAATAAATAAATACATACATACATACATACAGAAAAATAAAAAAATAGGGGCCGGGGAGATGGTTCAGTGGAATAAGTGCTTCCCTGGCAAGCACAAGGGCCTGAGTTCAATCCCTGGTTCCACCAAAAAAATAAATAAATAAACAAAAAAGGAAGAAAGAAAGGACAAGACAGCCTGGGGGCTGGGTGTGGTGTGGGTGTGCAGCAGGACTGGAACTCACCTGTGTCTTCCTCCCAACCTCCCACCTTTGGGTTTCCCTCGGCAACAGGAGGCCACGCCCAGGTGCCACCCTGCTCTTGACCCCTCACTGATAGCTGAACTTGGCAGTGCAGCTTCCACACCAGCCAGGGCACAATGCTTGGGTAGCCTGCTTGGCACCATTCCTGGGCATGCTGGCTGCCCTAGTCTCTATCCCTGTCCCTGGGGTGGCACAGTTACGACACTGGCACAGGGAGCAGAGGCAGAAGCTGGGGACTGCAGGGCAGGCAGGCATCCTCCCAACTCCCCTCTCACCGGGCTCTCTGTCCCCAACTCAGATGGCCCAGGTCTGGCCCCTGTTTTGCCCCACTCGACCCTCTGGGGACAACCCCAAGGGCCCTCTCCTGCCACCAACAGGTCAGGGTAGACAAACTAGAGCCCGGAATGCAGGGACCTCTAGCGAAGAAGCCAAAGGCAAGGCAGGACAGGGCTAGGAGCGCCAGTGCCTGGCGGGAAGGCAGGAGGCACCTTGGCTGTCCTGTGGCCTCGGGTGGTCTCTGATAGCTACCAGGAGTATTTGTGGAAACGGGAAAGTTCATTTCACTCATCAAAAGCTTTTGACCATCCAGCTGGCCTACCCTGCCCTGGGGACCTGTTGCCACTGAATCCAGGCGAACAGAGAGAGCAGCAGGGACCACTGCATTGTTTGGCCCTTTTGCCTTCTGCGGCTGTCCTGCCCCACCCCACCCCCACCCCCACCCGTGTGGACATGCGCACTGGCCACTGGGCCCCGTATAGCTGGAAATTGCAAGGCAATTGCATTTGTGGTCCCCAGAGAGCCAGAAAGGGGAAGGCTGCCTGCAGCTTGCGACAGCTCAGAGACCTGTCCTGACCTGCCCCCAGCTCTTTGGCCCTGTCCCCCTCCTGGCAGGCACTGCTAGTGTCTCCCACATACCCATGAGCACGAACCAGTCCGCGCACCTCTCTCTTCTCTCTGGCGTTCGCACTGAGCTACACCCTCAGCACTACTTTTGCATCTTATTTTTATTTTGAAACAGGGTCTCATCAAGTTGCTAAATTGTCCAGGCTGGGCTGCAACTTGGAAGCCTCCTGCTTCAGCCTCCCAGAGTGCTGAGCCCTGAGGCCTGCACAGCCACACCCAGCTGCAATCCTCCAGGCTACAGTGGTGTGCTCCCAGAGCCTGGGCCAGAACAGATGCACACAAGACATCCGGCAAAACAAAGGACAAGGACGGCAATCTGGAATCCCCGATCTGTCTCTTTGAATTGCAAAGCCGGGCCTCCCATCACACTTCCTGTGTCACACTTCCTATGAGCCCGGTGGGGCTCTCACTTCTGCTGCAGAAGGAAGATGGCCTCCCCGCCGCCACTCTGCTGACGTGGAGAAGGGAGTGTGGCGAGACCACAGCGTGTGCAGGCCCTCAGGGGATGGAAAGTAAAGGCCCCCAAATGGGGGCACAGGGTGCTCGAGGGCCGGCAGGTGCAGCCTTCAAGTGCAGCCTCGCGCTGGGCCTCGGGCCTCAGCAGTCTCCGCTGGCTGTGCTGTGGGGCTGGCCCCCTTGCTGGCTGCGCCCTGAGCCCTACAGCACTTGAGGAAGTTGGGTGGGAGCCCTCCTGCCACAGTGCCCGGCCCTGCAGGGCTGCCGCGCCCTGCCCTCCGAGGGGGCCCCGAGCTGGCCCTGGGCTCAGGGGGTGCAGAGCCAGCAGCAGGCACACCAGGGGGAGGCAGCTGGTAACACAGTTGCACACGGCATCCGCGGGTCCGGTGGCAATGCGCCCCAAGAGCCACCTTATTCTACCTCCTGGAAGCCTCGCAGTCACTTCTGAGCTCCATCCCACTATGGGTACAGGAGAAGCTGAGTGATGTCGGGGCTGGACATCTGCTGGCTCTCGTCACCGCACCTGAGTCCTGAAGCCGTGCCCGTGCGGGGCATTTGCAAGTGCATTTGCATGCGATTTGCACGCAGGGCATTAGCAGAACCCCAAGAGGTCGGATTGCAGCAGGCTGCAAGCCCGCAGGAGTAGGATTCACACCACCAGGGCCTAGGGGCAGGTGCCAGGGCTCCAGTACGCTACCAGTCCGACCAAGCTTCTCCCTGCCACTCCCGAACAGGCCACCTCCTCAGGCTCCGACGGAGACCAAAGAGGGGGCAGGGGAAGGGAGAAGCAAGGGGGCTGGCCCGGCCGGCTCCCCCAGCCTGCTGTCTTCCGCGGCCTGCCACGGGCCTGCTCACCTTTGACCTGGGCCTCGTACTCAGCCTGCAGCCCCCGCTCCCGGCGCAGCCTCCCGTGCGCCGCCATCGGGCCAAGTGGCCGCGCCGTCGAGCCCCGCTGCTTCCACGCGGGCAGGCGGGCGCCGCGACCTGGAGCCCCTCCGCCAGCACCCCGCTGCGGCCCCGCCTCGCCCCGCCCCCAGCACCACAGGGGGCGGGGCGGGGCCTGACACTGTCCCCGAGGGGCTCCTGCCCCAGGGCAGGCGGCGGTCCCCTTCCGCTGTGTGCGCACCTGGGCTACCTGCGCCCAAAGCCTGCAACCCAGCAGCTAGGCCTGGAGCGAGTCCCAGGATGCCCAGCGAGCTACCTCCGTGCTCACCATGCTGACACCCCCCATCAGTTCCAGAAGGCTGTCTTTGGTAGCCACTGCCACACTGCACCCTACCCAGGCCACCAGCATTCAATAGCAGTACACAGCATGGTTTGGTGACCCATTCCTGCCATCCCAGTACCCAGGAAGCTGAGGCAGGAGGATCACCTTCGTTATGAGGGCAGGTTGGACTAGTAATGAACTCAAGGCCTGTCTGAACTATACATTGCAAGATGCTGTCTGCAAAAACAAAGAAAAAAAACCCAGCAGTGGACTCTGATGTGGTAACTGCCCTAGGGCTCCCCAGGACTGCCTGCACACCAGGGCCCCAGGACATCGCAGGGTCCCCCTTCGTGACTCACAGCCTGAGAGGCCCCAGAGCCTGGACAGCCCACAGCTGGGCCTTCATCCTTCCAGGCCCAGACTCAGGGTGGCTTGTTTCCTTCTGCTCAGCTGGGGGAGGAGAGGGAGCAACAGCCTTGGTTCCTCCTCATAGGTGGTTACGGCTTCCCACCACAGGAAGCTCTGCTCCCGCGGCCTCTCTGTAGCCCGAACCTGCCCTGGCCTGGGCAGTCGTGGGGCCTCCCTTTCCTGGGGTGGGAGAGTGCCATCCACTCTAGGCAATAGGGAAATGGCTTCTCCAGGTGGCCTCAACAAGCCAGAGTACACAGCTGTGTTTGGCTTGGTGGCAGGGAAATCCTTGGTCCAGCATGTGAGACAGGAGCAAGATAGCCAGGCACCACGTGTCCAGTGAAGTGGTGGCGCAGGCACACGTACACATACATACATGCAGAGGGTACATGTGGGTCCCCTCGACCTGAGTCGGCCTGTGGGACTGGTGGGAGGGGGCTCAGGAGGCACTTCTGGACGAGGAGAAAACATGCTCCATCAGCGAAGAGGTCTCTCTTAACCACTGCCAAAGCCCTTGTCTAAGAGGCTGCCTTGTGCCCACAGTTTTTGTTTGGGACAGAGGACCGTGTCTCACTATGTAGTAGTGTAGGCTGGACTTCAACTGCCTATGGAGGCTAAGCCAACCTTTAACTTGAGATCCTCCTGCCTGAGATGGCTACTGAGACTGGGCGTGGCGGCGTGCGTCTGTAATCCTAGCGATTGGCAGGCTGAAGACAGGAGGATCTCTCCGAGTCCAATACGCATGTAGTGAGAGCCTATAGACCCTGTACTAAATACATTAAATAAATGTAAATAGAATTTCGCCTGGCGTGGTAGGGCAGCCCTGTAATCCCAGTACTGGAGAGGTTGAGACAGGAGGATCTCTGGGAGTTCAAGGCCAGCCTGGGCTACAAAGTGAGTTCAAGGCCAGCCTGAACTACATAATGAGATTCTGTCTCAAAAAGTCCAAAAAAATGTAAATAGAGTTTTGTTTGTAGTGCTGGACTGGAACCCAGGGGCCCAAGCATGCTGGGCAAGGCCTTTACCCGAGCTACACCCTCAGCTATACACAGGGTCCTGAAGAAAAGTTGGGGGGCTTCCCAGACCCTGATCTTTGAAGCACCAATGCTGGGGTCCTCCAGTGGGCAGGAGCCCCAGCTCACTGTGCCAGTGGCAGGAGAGACAGAAATCGCGCCCCACATCCGGCTGCCTCCTACCCTGACTCCTGATTGGCCCCCAAACTTCCCTCCTGCAGCAGAGCCAACTCCCAGGAAATGGCTGCCCATTGGCCTTCACATGCTCTCCTCAGCCGCAGGTGCCCACTCAGGCCCTGCAGTGCAACCCTGAGTGAAAAAGGCTGAAATGAAGGCCTCTTGCAGGGAGAGGCTTGGCATTTGGGACACTAAGTTGGCATCTGGGCCTCTGAATGGGGCCAAGCTGTGTTAGTTTTCTACCCTCTAATTCCGCTGCTCCCTTTCCAAGATCCCAGACACAGCTCCCTTGCAAGTAAGGGCCACCTGCGCAGGACCTTTGTAAATCCTTTGAGGACAGGCATGGGGGCGCGCGCCTGTCATGCAGCACTTGGGAGGCTGAGGCAGGAGAGTTAAAGGTCAGCCTGTTTACACACTGAGACCATGTCTCCAAAAAGCAAAATAAGAGAGGCGAGAGATGAATGAAGATGTGTTATGTATATGGGCCAGCATCTCTAAATGAATGTAATCATTATATACTACAAACACGTACTAATAACATTTTGAAAAAAAAATGCATGCATATTTAAAAAACTATCCGCCAAAAATGAGAAGAAAAAAATTAAAATCAACCGGGTGAAGAGTGTACTTGGCCCTGGGAGGAGGTGATCACAGGGCTGGCGGGTCACATGGCCAGAGGAAGATGAGAACGAGGCGACAGTGAGCCCAATCAGGTCACCGCCGCCCCCTCCCGTTACCCCCGTCACTTTTCTAGGGCGCCTTTTCCAGTCTCGCCCTGGTCACCAAGCAGCGGCTTGGGAGGTGGATGCTGCTTATGGGGGAAGTGCTGGGCCCCAGAGCGAGGAGGACCTGCGGTTCCTCCCTTTTCTTTCTCCTCAGTGCCCAGCTACCACCTCCGCCCAGGAAACCTAACAGCGTCAGGGCCCGGCCAGCACCGAGCAGCTGGTGACGCAGGGCACACGGCACAGAGCGGCGGGAGGGGAAAGCAGCCCCTCCCTGCCGCCGTGAGTTCCGCCTGCCAGCGACGGGGCGCGGCCGACGCACGCGCACACCCGCCAGCCGCGCGGAGTTCGTCCCGCCGGACCAATCAGGTCCTGGGAGTTAGGCCCGCCGAACCGGAAGGAACTGGCGATGGGCGGGGCCGAGCGAAAGGGAAGCCTGTAACTGTAGCCGATCAGCAGTAGACGGAAAAAGGCGGCTCGCGCAGGCGCATCCTCCCCGCCCCGCCCCGCCCCGCCCCGCCCCGCCCTTGGCGCTTTGGGCCGGGCCACTGCGGGGCGTGCGCGTCGGGTGTTCGCCGCCAGCCAGAGAACCCTGCCTGCCCGGCCGGGTAACCGGCGGAGCTGCGAGTCCCCCGCGGCAGCCGAGCCCCAAAGAAGGGCGCCGGCCTGGGCACTCGGACCTATGGTTCCACCATAGGGGAGGGTAAAGAGGAAGGGTGAAGGGCAACTGCTAGGGTCAGGATGAGGGCGAGAAAGGCTGCACTTCAGTCTTTATGCTTCCAGATGACAGGCAGGAAACCGCGGTGGACACCACTGTTCCTTGGTCAGGATCCACAGGACATGCCCGGGCAGTATGGTGACTCAATGGGACAGGTCTCAAAATTCAAATTTGGAAGGGCCACGGATTTGATCCCAGTCCCTGGGACCAGAGGGGGATGCTGATGCAGCAATCACACGGCCGCTAGCCACCAGACAGCATTCGTGCGGGGCCAGCGCGGCGGTGCATTCCCATCACCCAGCCCGTGGGAGGCTGAGGCAAGAGTACAATGCCAGCCTGAGCTACACGGGGGCTTTTTTATTCCATTTTGAGACAGGGTCTCCATATGTATTCCAGGCTGGCCTGGAACTTTGTTTTATTTTATTTTTGCAGAACCAGGGATTGAACTCAGGCCCTCGCACTTGCCAGGCAAGCACTTATTCTACTGAGCCATCTCCCCGGCCCCGTGGCCTGGAACTTTAAACAATCCTTCCTCCTGCCTCTGCCACCCCAAGGCTGGAATGACAGGCCCACACCTGGCTTTTTTTTTTTTTTTTTTTGCAGAACCGGGGATTGAATTCAGGTCCTTGCATTTGGCAGGCAAGCACTTATTCTACTGAGCTATCTCCCTGGCCCCCTGGCTCTTAATAATGGGGAGTGTTGAAGGGTAGGAGGGAGCCAGTACTGTCCCATTCATTTCTCTAAATCTAACTAGATTGAACTCCACGAGCTCTCTCCAAGAAAGTGGCTAGGGACATGAGTAACCTAGGAAGTGGGGACTATATACCGGGCTGGCTGAGGGCAGGAGACCACACATGATGGTGGCAGAGGTAGTGGTGGTAGTGATGGTGGTGGTGGCGGTGGCGGCAGCAATAGCAGCGGCAGCAGCGGAAGCAGTGGCAGCGGCAGCGGCAGTGGTGGCAGCAGCGGTGGTGGCAGTGGCAGTGGCAGTGGCAGCAGCGGCGGTGGCGGCGGCGGCAGCAGAGCACACATTGCCCAAGGCCACAGGCTGAGCTTTATTGGGACAGCTCACGGGCTGAGGCCCGGGTGTGTGGGTTCTAGGAGGCAGAGTCGGAGGCCTCTGAGCTGTCCTTGACATCCGTGCTCTCTGTGGTCTCGCTGACCTCACTGAGGTCCTTGCTGTCCCCACCACTGTCTTCGGCAGCTAGGGTCTTCTCCTCCCGGCAGGCCTCGCCCGGGCCCGGCAAGGGAGCACCTTTGCCCTCCACCTTGTTCTCGATGGCAGCCAGCACCACGTGCCTGTTCTTGTCCTTCAGCTCCAGGTGCCGCCTCAGCTGATAGGGGACAAAGGGTCAGTGCCTAAGTCTCCAGGCAATGGTGAGGTAGCCAGCCAGGCAGGAGACTGCAGCGCGCTGGCTCTGCCTGTCTTTAGGCCCAAAGCAGGCCAATTCCATTGTTCCCAGAGCCACCCCCTTGCCCCTCAGATCCCACCAAGGGTAGTTTCCTGGCAGTGGGCTCTGGGATCCATGGCCTCGCTGTTCTTTTTTGTTTTGTTTTTTGTTTTTTTGAGACAACGTCTCACTGTGTTTTCTTCAGGCTGGCCTCTTAACTTGCAGCAGTTCTCCTGTTTGAACTTCCTGAAGGCTGGGCCACCATGGCCAGCTTCTAACGCTCTCTCTAAGGCAAGCCAGGGTCGCCTCCCCTGGCTTTGAGTCACCAGGGGCAGCCCTGCTCAGGGCCCTCCAGGCTCCTACCTCCTCAGCCATCTGGGTGAGGTCCCGCTTCATAGCGTAGGCATCTTCCCCGTCTGCGTAGTACTTCGGCTCCACCTCGCTGATCCTGGGGCAAGAAGAGCCAAGCCTGAGGTGGCTCCTGGCATGAGGCAGAAGCCCAACCGCAAGGAACCTTCCTTTCCCAGCAGCCCCATCTCCTGCTGGCACAGCCAGTGCCTGGCCACTTATCCTCAGCCTGGTTGTTGCCCAGCTTGCCCTGCCCTCTCTGCCCTGTCTCCTGTCACCAAGCACACAACAGGTCCCCTGGGGTGCCTACCCCAGCAGGTGTGCTCACCCTGGACTCGGCCTAATGTCTGGGGACTTGGCACAAAGCACTTCCCAGCAGAAGCATTTTGGGATTGTTTGGCAGTTGGCAGTACTGGGATTAAACCCAGGGCACTTGTATTGAAATGAACATCCCCCATCCCTTCTTGTTTCTGTTTTGGTTTTTTTTAGCAATACTAGGGATCAAACTCTGGACCATGCGCTTGACAGGCAGGCACTTAAGCCACTGAGCTATACCCCTGGCTAAAATTTCAGGGTGCACTACCATGCTGGCCTTTTCTAGTCCTATTTTGTTTTATTTATTTATTTTTGCTGGCTAAGCCCACCCTGAGGGTGGGGCTGGCAGGGCATGTGGTGCCAGCGATCGAACCACAGGCCTCTGCGCCTGCCTAAGCTTGCCCGAGCAGGTGCTTTAGACCGCTGGGCTGTCTCGCCGGCCCTTGTTTTGTTTAAGTTTTGAGCCAGGGTCTCACATAGCTAAGTTGCCCACGTTGAGCTCAAACTTGCAATCCTCCTGCCTCAGCCTCCAGGGCCTAGGATTACAAGCATGCACCACCATGGTGGCTTCAGAGGCATTCTTGTTTTATTTTGGTTTTGGCTTTTTGAGATAGGTAGGGTCTTGTTATGTAGCCTAGGTTGACCTTGAACTCACTATGTGGCCCCATGATCCCCCTGCCTCAGCCTCCCAAGTGCTGAGATCACAGGCATGCACCACCACACCCAGCCTTCAGAGGCTTCTTAACCTGGGCAAAGGTCCTTCCCTAAGTAGAATGTTGAACTCAGCCTGCAGCCACCAGCCTGCTCAACAGTCCTTCTGCTCTCTCTGATGCCAACTCAAAGCCAAGTGTCTCAGGGAAGCCTGCAAGGGCAGCCCCGCCCAACCCCACTGTCTGCCAGTGGGGCAGACCTGGACTTGTCCACTCTCGCTGCTCTCATTCCCAGCCCTTCTTGCCTTTCTTTTTATGTTGCTAGTTTTTTGAAACAGGGTCTTTACTATATAGTGCAGGCTGGCCTCCAACTCACTAGGGGGCCCAGGTTCACTTGGAACTCAGAGATCCTCCTGCATCAGCCTCCCACGTGCTGGGATGACAGGTGTATACAATCAAGTATGGGCTTCGTGGCGTTTCTCCCACTGCCATCTGCTTGGCCCAGCCCCCAGCCCTGAACTCCCATCTACTTACTGAAAGTTGAGGGTGTTGGAGTAGAGGTGCAGGGCGGCCCGGTTACTGCAGGGAAGAAGGTGCTGCTGAGCTGCAGAGGCACAGCCAGGCAGGGTGCACCGCTCCCCATCACCATGCCTCCTGGAACCCCCAGCCCAGCCTCACCTCTTCCTGACGTGCAGGGAGACGTACTTGGCATTGAAGTTCTCAATCATGGCTCGAGAGGCCTGGTCCATGAGCTTCTGGGCCAAGCCCAGGCGCCTGTGGGAGCGCTTCACAGCCTGGAGGGAAGACAGCAGTGGTGTCGTGGGCTCAGGGCGTCCCGGTCTCCCACTCCCACCCTGATGGTGGCTGGGGTGCCCCACTCACCAGTGAGGTGATGTGTCCGTGGGGCACATCATCCGGATCCTCCTCCCTAAGTGAGCAAGGAGGCAGGTACAAAGGTGACAGCTGCAGGCATGGCCACCCTCCAGGACCAGTGCTGCCCCAGAACCAGGCCCCAAGCCCCTCCCTGCAGCTATCAAACATGTGCAGTGTTCACAAACAGAATAATGCTCCATGATTTAAAACACATTAACCCTCTGGAGGCTGAGGCGGGGGGATCACCATGAGGTCCAGAACAGCCTGGGCTGCAGAGCAAGATTGGCTCAATAAAAGCAATAATAAAGTAGTAAAAAATAATAATAAAAACAATTTTTAAAAAGCAACAATAATAAGGTATCAAGTCACAAAATGGCAAAATGAAGGCTGGAGAGATAGCTCAGCAGACTAAGCACCTGCTTAGGCAAGCGCCGGGACTGGGGTTCAACCCCGGTACCACGCGCTGCACTGGCCCTGCCCGCGGCGCGCTGAGTGTGGTGGAGCACTGAATCCCAGTGCTGGGGAGGCTGGAAACAGAAGCACTGCTAGTAATCTGAGCTGTGTAGTGAGATCTTGTACCAAATACATGAAAAAAGCCCTGGCGGAATGCAGCCTAAGTGCATGCTGCTAAGAGAGGCCACAGACTACCATCCCAGGAGGGCCAAGCTGTGGACCCGTACAGGTGTACCCGTACAGTAGGGTCAGCTCAGGGCTGAGGACCAAGTCTTGCTGCTGGGTCCTCACCTTTGCCAAAGGCCTCACCTGACAAAACACGCTGAAGCCACAAAAGGATGGGCTTACATGAAAATTCCTGGTGTTCTCTGCTCAATTTCTCTGAAAACTTTAAACTGTACTCAAGGCAATCCTCCTGCCTCGGCCTCCTGGGTGCTGGGGTGACAGGTGGGGGGGGTGCCAGCAACACCCAGCTGGTTTAGTATTTTTAAAAACGCACAGCAGCCCTCCCCGACACCGTCTTGCTTATCCCTTCCTCCTGGAAGACTCACATTTTGGCCAGGACATACCCCACAATCTTCCCATTCTCATCCTCGGCAATGTAGGACAGCTGGTGACAGAGAAGAAAGTCAGGGAAGGCTACGGCACCAGGCAGCACCTCTCCACCCACGTGTGCCCTGTGCCCGGCTCCTGACAGCCGGAAGCCGATCAAGCTGCGAGAGTTATGTGACAGCCTGTGAGCCGCGGCCAGGGCCCTGCCGTGCAGAGCGCTGGGCACATCGGCGAAGCCCATCCGCGGCGGGCGAGACGCACCTGCGGCCAGGAGAGGCCGTGGTAAAAGTAGTACTTCATCTGGTAGTTCTCGGGCAGGCAGAGCAGGTTACAGTGCTGCATGTTCATCAGGTCCTCGGGCTGCGGGAAGGTACGCGGCGCGGCCAGTGAGACGCCGCTCCCGGGCTGGGGCCTCGCTTCACCCCAGGCCCGGCCCGCAGCCCCCACCTTGCGGAGTAGCGCTTCCCGAATCCCAGCCCACGGGCCTTGTCATCGCGCGGACGAGACAGATCCGCGGCCCGGGCCCCGCTCTCGGCCGCCCAGCGGGTCCCTGGGAGCATGCGCACGCGGCCACCCGCCGGCGCCCACGCGGCGCGGACAGCCTCTCGGCCCAGGCCCTCACCCTCGCATTGCGGATGTTCATCACGGCGACGGGATCGCGGGTCCCGGGGGGCGTGATCGCGCAGTCCGCGGCCGCTGCGCTCCGAAGCGACACCGGAGTACCGGTCTGAGACGGGATTGCGGGGGCGGCGGCGGAAGAGGCGGTGCACAGCTAACCCGCCACCAGACGGAAGTACGCGGCCACCGGACCCGCCTCCCGACCAAGCGGCACCTGCGCGGAGTGGCCCTCTGTGCTGGGCGGGGCGCGCGCAAGCCAATGAGCGTGTCAGACGCGAGGCGGGGCGCTGGCTAGCGAACTGGGACTCGCAGGCTGCCGGTTGTGGCAAGGCGGTGACCGACCCCCACCCCCGGGCCCCAGATTCCAGACGCGCGCACACGGGCAGGTGCAGCAGGCCGAGCTTTATTCCGTGCCACAGCGGGCAGGGGCGACGGGCAGGGCACAGGAGGCTCCGGGGTCCAGGGCGTGGTTGCTCACCAGGGTGCCCAGCATCTCCTCGCACATGGCCAGGCACCGCGGCACGTGGAAGCAGCCTAGAAGAGAAGCGATGGGTTGGGACGGCAGGGGTGCCCGGAACCGCGAGACCCTGTACCCCGCTGCTCACCTTTGAAAGGGCCCCCTTTGATGGTGAGCGCGACCTGCCCCTCCCGGTTCAGGTAGCCAAACCATTCGCCTTGCTTAGGATCGCGAAACTGGGTAAGAAGGAGATGGTGTTAGCCAGCGTCGAGGTCCCCGCTGCAGCGCTGCGTTATGGCCCCAGCCTGGGGAAGGGGCTGCCGGAATAGAGGTTCCAGTCCGGCTCCTTGTGGCAGCACAGGGAAATTCTTAACCCAGGATCCCACTGTGCCGCTGGCAGCGCGGTCCACATCCTGGCAGAGATGGGCCACATCACAGAGCCCTGCTCCTGCCTGGCTCCCCACAGCCACCCCTCTACCAACCCTGGTGCCCCGCTGCTCCCGATGCGGCAAGCGGCACCCGGGCAGAATCCAGGGTGCACCCAGACCTCAGCCACACTTTTTCGTGCCAATAAAAGTTCGGTCACAGACCAGTCACCGAAATCTACCATCATAGATAGCCCTGCTGGGAATGGTGGTGCAAGCCTGTCGGCCTGTCGTTCCAGCCTTCCAGGGGCTGAGGCAGGAGGATCACTGCAAGTTCAAGGCCAACCTGGACTACAAAGTGAGCTCAAGGCCAGCCTGAAGTGCATAGCAGGCCCAGTCTCAAAAACTAAATGAAAGGGGCCAGGGAGATGGCTCAGGGGGATAAACGCTTGGTAAGGGCCTGAGTTCAATCCCGGGTTCCGCAAAAAGATTAAATAAATTAAGGAGGGTTGGTGACATAGCTCAGTGGACTAAGCACCTGTTCTGGCAAGCACAGGTACCAGGCTTCAATACTCGGTCTCCATGCTGCGTCGGCCCTGCCCCCCCAGCACTGAGCCCGACTGAGTGGAGCGTGGTGGTGCACTCCTGTAATCCCAGCGCTGGGGAGGCTGAAAACAGGAGGTTCACTACTGACCTGTACCAAATACATAAAAAATGAAAATAAAGGGCCAGGGAGATTGCTCAGCGGTCTAAGCGCCTGCCTGGCAAGCACAAGGGCCTAGGTTCAATCCTCCGTACTGCATACTGTGCCTGCCCTGAGCTGTGCCTGCCACTGAAACCGGACATGGTGGCACATGCCTGTAATCCCAGCGCTGGGGAAGCGGAGATGGGAGGATCACTGAGTCCAAGCCGCATAGCGAGACCTTGTATCAAATAAATCTTTAAAAAAAAATTAAAAGCTAGAAAATAAAAAGAGCCCCTCCTCAAAAAGACCATACAACAGACCAGTGACATCAGAGTCCACTGTCGAATGTCCCTCAAAATCGTGGTCTATGAGAGTTGGTGTATCCTCCCAGAGTGTTGTACCAGGTCTCTACCCACACTACGATTGGTGTGACAGCTTGTGTCCCTTCTCATTTTACTACTCTTGAAAGGAAGCTAATATCCCAGCATGAGAAAAAAAATCAACCCTCCATGTGTTTCTGTCCCATTTGTCCTGTGTCGCAGGAGTTTGCTTTCTGAATTGTCCTGCTGCTCTGTGATCATGAGTGACCTGGGGAATTTTCTAACTGTGTAATGTGCTCTCTTGTCGAAGTACATCGTTGCATCTCAAAGTGGCTCTTGGTGGCCCTCTTGATTTTTTTTTTTTTTTGCGGAACCAGGGCTTGAACGCAGGCCCTTGCACTTGCCAGGGAAGCGCTTATTCCACTGAGCCATCTCCCCGGCCCCTGGTGGCCCTCTTGAAACCACAATGTGAAGACACTCCAGGCTCCGTGTGCCGTCTGAAGGTCTGGGCCGGGGTCTTCAGCAGCCCCCGCAAGGCGGCCCCATTGCTCAGGCCTCTGGGGCCCTGGCTGCGCCCCTGCGCCGGCATCTCCAGTGCTGCTGCTCCTCAGCCTTCTTCTTTACGCAAAAGCTTACTTTGCGCCACATATCTTAGCATTGTCTATGTTCAGTTTGGCTTGATAAGACAGGGTCTCACTAGCACAGGCTGCACTTGGAATTTGTGGCAGTCCCTTGCCTCACCTTCCTGAGTGCTGGGGTGACAGGCATGCCCCCAGACCCCACTGTTTACTTTTGAGACAGTCTCAGTATGGAACTTAAACTCACTACATATCCCAGGCTGGCCTCAAACTCCCAGGGATTCTCCTGCCTCAGCTTTCCCTGCTGGGATGACAGGTGTGTTCGACCATGCCCAGCTTTCTGGTTTTGTGTTTGGTTTTTTTGTATTTAGTACGGGGTTTCACTATGTAGATCTGACTCATAAAATCCTCCTGTTTTCAGCCTCCCAAGTGCTGGGATTACAGGTGCGCACCACCACGCAGTCTCAGCGTGCCCGGGGGTGGGGGGGTGGGCAGCACAGCACACTGGGGATCGAACTGCCACCGCTGTGCTCTGCCTAAGCAGACCCTTTAATCCCCTGAGCTATCTGGCCGGCCTCTGTATTTGTTTTTTGAGACAGGGTCATTGGGAATTCACAGGGATCCTCCTGTTTCAACCTCCCAAATGCTATTGTTTCTTTTCTTTCTTTCTTTTTTTTTTTTTTTTGGCGGAACTGGGGATTGAACTCAGGTCCTTGTGCTTGCCAGGGAAGCGCTTATTCCACTGAGCCATCTCCTGGGCCCTCTATTGTTTCTGATTAGTATGATTGTATATATATATTTCCCCCCCAACCCCGGAACTGGGGATTGAGCTCAGGCCCTTGCGCTCAAGTGCTTCTCTCCCCAGCCTGCCTGCCTGCCTATCTACCTACCTATCTATCTATCTATATTGTTGTTTAGGCCAGCCTTGAGTTCACTGTGATCCTCCTGCTTCAGCCTCCTGAGTGACCTGTATTCTTATGACACTGAACATGTGTGGCCAGCCCAGACCTCTCCCTTGTCTGTGTGTGTGTGTATGTGCAGTGTAAGAGCTGAGCCCAGGAAGTGCCAAGCTATCCCCCCCGCCCCTTTTAATTCTGAGTCAGGGTTTGAAGTGCCCAGGTTGGGCTCAAGTTTGACATTCTCCTGTCTAAGCTTCCTGGTTGCTGGGATTATAGGGCCTGCATACCCTGCCCAGCCCCCACTGAACTAGCCCTAGTCCCAAGGCCATGGAGACCGCCTGGGGTCTCCCTCCGGACAGCCCACCAGTCTCTTGTGTCCCTCAGCACCCTGTGCAGCAAGCTCTTACTTGGTCACCCAGGGTTTCTGGGGCCCTGCACCACTCACCCGGAGGAAGGCATACTTTGCCACCTTCTTGAAGAGACGCAGCAGGGCAGGGTTCCCACTGTCTTTGTAACCCATGAGGAAGGCAATCATGGCTTCACAGTGCGGCCACCACAGTTTCATATTCCACTCCAGCTGCAGGCAGAGTAGAGCTGAGTGGCCGGGTGCCCTCCACAGGACACACACACCAGTGGTCTTGATAGCTTAGGTGCCTGGGTATCTTGGGGTCTGGAAGGCCCCTCAGAATGGGGCTGGCTAAGTGGCCTCCTGAAGGGATGGGGCTCCTTGTCCTTGCAGAGTCTCAGGAGGGTTGGGGCCCACTCAGCCAGGGAACAGTGGAGTCTCTGTGTAGCAAGGGACCAAGCCTATATCCCCTATAAAACTGGGTTGGCAGCAAAGTGACCCACCTGGGTGGGGCAGAGGCCATCAGCATCCTGGAAGTAAAAGAGACCCCCATAATTGGGGTCCCATCCAGAGTTAAAGGGCTGCAGGAGAAACTTCTCGATCACGTAGGCTTGAAGCTCAGGATCACCTTTCCTGCTGGCATACTGAAGCAGGAACCAGCCAGCCTCCAGCGCATGACCTGGGGAGGGTTCCAATGGGGGTTACAGCTGAAGCCCCAGTCCAGATGGCACCCAAGCCCCAGGCCCACTTTGCCCCTCACCTGGGTTCTGGTGTCGGCCCAGGCAGCCAGGGAGCTCCTGGCCGTCCTCAGACACGTTCTCCAGGACAGCTCTGCCATCCCTCTGTGGGGAAAAGGTGGGAGCCAGCTGTGTGTGCATGTGTATATACGCACATGGGGCAAATCCCACACCACTGTCAGAGGGTTCAGGCTGGTGAGCCAGGGCCCAGAGCCTCAGAAGGGAAGTGGCTCAGGCCCCACCTTGACCCCCAGGCACCTGGAGGCGTAGCCCCAACCTGGACGTGCTGCAGAATCTTCTGGGCGCACCAGTCCCCCAGCTCAGCATATCTGCCTGCCAGCACCTCATCCTCATCCCCGAGCTGTGCCACGAGGCTCAACAACATCATGGGAACCGCCATGGACTCGGCAGCTGGGGTCCCCGCAAGCTGGGGCCGGCCCAGCCCCGACGGGTCCTCCCGCACCCAGTGGACGATCTGGTCCATCATTTCCGTTGCTTCCCTCTGCAGGGACGAGTAGGAGGCAAGGAGAGTTCAGGCAGGGGCTGCATCCCCTGTGCTGTCCCCAGGAACCTGCGGAGGCCCGGAACCCAGCTTGAGAGGGGAGTGCACACTCCAAAGAGGCTGGGGGGGCAGCTCTGGGGGTGGAGAGAGGGGACCCCCACCCACCCACCCACCCCTGCATCGCGGTCAGGGCAGAAGCACCTGGTATCGCGTGTCCCCCGTCACCTTCCACAGCGCGTCCATGGCCATGGTATAGAAGCATTCGCTGAAGATGGTCCGCTGCACTTTGACTGGGCGACCGTCCCGTGTCAGAGTGAAGGCGCACTTCTGCTCAGGAGGCGCCACTCTGGCGCAGCGTAGCAAGAACTCGCCACCTGGCGGCCGGGACGGGTGTCGCGCTGGACTCCGGGGCACCCCCCCCACCCCCCACACAGTGTGCACAGAGAGCCCCCGGAGGCGGCGAGCAGCTGGGGGTGGGGGGGTGTCACCTGCTTTCGCAGCATCCAGAAGCTCTGGCTGGCGGAAGCGCTCGAACTTGCGGTACAGGTGGCAATACATCCACACCTGTGCGAGACGGTAGTAGCTGAGAAAACAGGACAACTGGGGGGCGGGCAGGGCGCGAGAGTGGGCACATCGCCACAGATAAGCCGTGCGGCTGACTGAGACATCCCCTACCTGCCTCCCCTGCAGCCACACGTACTTGAGGTCGTCATATACCTCCCCGTCGTGGCCCAAGCACGTGAGAAAACCCCTGTGGAAGCACAGTGTCAACAAGGAGGGAAGAAGCCCCGCCAGGGTCCCGCGGGTCGCCCCGGGAGAGGGAAGGGCCGGGCGGGCCCGCTGCGCACCCGTGCTCCGGGTCGTGCGAGTTCTTGGTCCAGAACGCCACCACCTGGTCCAGCTCACTCTCCACGCGCACCTTCCAGAACTGCAGAACTTCCAGCTCCTTCTCCCTGTCCTGGGGGTGGGGGTGGGGGCTCAGAGCTCCAGGCACCGCTCCCCACGTGCTCCCCGCCCCCGGGGCGCCGGCTTGGGGTCTTCCCGCCCGCCACGCACTGGGCGCCCCAGGGCCAAGCAGCTCCCCAACGGCCCCGCTACTAGCCTGTTGGGCTCCAAGACCCCCGCTCATCACTCCCTCTCTTTCAGGAAGCCAGACAGAGCTGAGTCCCGTGACCGTCACTCAGCTGACTGAGTTGCGCCCCACCCCCTCCTGGGGTACCACGGGCCGGGGGCGGAGCGGGGGCGGAACTTGTTAGCTCCGCCCCGTGCTCAGGCCCTTGACCCTCTGCTGGGGGCGGGTGCCGAGCTGAGAGACAGGGTATGGCCTCTAATGACTGCCACTTGAGCAGGCCGTGGTGGACACCAAGGGCCACTGCAGGATGCTGAGTGGCTGGACTGTGTCGCAGCCACCCGTTCTGCTCCACATTGTGTCCGGCGACTGTCCAGCTCTAATGCCAGGCCGCTGTCCCTGTCAATGGGCCACCTCCAAGCGGGCATAGTGGAGCATCCAGCTCCCAAGAGGAGCTGGGTTCATCCTTTTGACGTCACCGCAGGGCCGCGGACCCACTCTGCCAGGGCTCCCGTGGCTTGGACTGCCTCAGCTGCCAGGTGGTCTTTCTTTGGACTGGCTGCTCCACTCCTGCTGGCCCATGACTAGCAGGGGCACCCACCCTGGGTCTCAGATGACTCTCACAGGCATGCCATTGCTGCTGTATCCATTCGTGTCCTCCCTGACACACTATGCCAGCCTCCTGCTCAGCCAAGGACGAGCATGGGCATGTGGAGGGGCCTGGACCTCTCAGGTCCCTCTTCCCTGGGCCCAGTGCGCAGGGCTCCGGCCCTGGCACTGGGTTCCTCCTGGCCAGGGGGAGATGACCCTGGCTGTGGTCAAGTCACCAGAACATGGAGTGGGACCAGGCCACTGCCTGGGCATGTACTGAGTGATGCAAGCCACAGTGGTTCCAGCTGAGGTAGTGTGGCTCTTGGTGCCCAAGTCTCTGTCTCCTGCCCAGGTGAGGGTGGCAGCAGATGCCAGTAGTGGGGGATGATGACGTGCTCACCCCAGTGCTCTTCTCACTCTAGCACAAGCACCAGGTCCCCTGCTCTAGCTAGCACTACACTAACCTTAGCTGGACCTCTGGCCCGTGTGGCTCAGCACCCCCTGCTCCTTGTCCTCAGGGCCTGGCCACACGAAGAGCCAGAGGGCCCAGTCCTGTGGGACCTAGAGTGCCCGACCTGTGGCTAGGGGGCTTTGGGCAGCACCCACCCCTTGTTGAGCAGCAGGTCTCAAGGGGTGGAGACCACAGGGCACTGCAGAAAGGGAGTGGTTGGCAGAAGGGCTCAACTGTGACCCAAGTCCCCACTTGGCCTCCAGAGGCCATAGGACACCAAACACAGCAAGACACCAAACACAGCAAGACATCAAATAGTTTTTTCAAAAAAAGTCTTTAATTGTTCAAAATAGCACAAAACGACATCGCACTATGGTAATATTGAGTCACGGGTTACTCTACAATAGATGAACGGGTGGTACTGTTCTCAGAAACAAGAGAAATCAGAGGGCGCTCAAGAGGGGACGGGCAAAACAATGGGACAGGCGGTGGGCTCCAAGGCGACTAAAACATGACAGTTTCCACAGCGAAATATACTATAATACAACAAACCAGAGGCCCTGGGGGGGTGTGCCCCCTTCCCGAACCTCTGGCAGAGATGGAGGGGTCGGACCAGCTGTCACCTAAACCCAGCCAGGAGGACCACAGGCAAACCTTGCTCACCACTGCCCCCAGCTGAGAAGCCCGACAGGCCTGGCAGAGCCAGGAGGCTGGGCCTCCAGGGAACCTAGACAAAGCCTGCCACAGCTGGACGGCTGGCCGGGGCAGCGGGGCGGGCAGTCTGCCGTGCAGTCCCTCTCTGTAGAAGTGCTCGCTCCAAGCGCCATGCCAGTTTCACTCCTCAGTTCCAAGAGGTCAGGGACGGCAGCAGCCCAGGCCGATGACCAGGTCCAGGCCCCAAGAGGGAGGGAGGAAGGGAGAAGGGAGGCCCCTTCCGCACCCCTCCAGCCCCAGCTGCCCCATTTTTCCTCTACAAGATCCCTGCCAAGGGTTAGCCAAGGAGAAAAAAAAAAGTTAAAAAAAGGGGGAGGGGAGAAGATACATTCTGTACACAGCTAACAACAACAAAAAAGGGACAAAGCCCCCACACGCTAAGGCTAAAATTACAATAAAAATGTTAACTCCATCAATTTCAACTTAAAAAAATACAACAAATGCAGCAGTTGGTGATGTAGCCCCCAGCATCAAGCCAGGCAAGGGCAGAGCCGGGCTTGCGGGGGGCCACACTGCGCCCGTGGGTTGGAGGAGGGTGACAGCGCTGCTCAGGATGGGGCCCTCGGCCCTTCTTTTGCCTTCCTTCTTCCTTTTCCGTTGATAAAGCAGGAAGGCGGCCAGGCGAGGAGCAGAGGGCCTTGGAGAAGAGAGGGTGTCTGGGGGTGGTCAGCCTGAGGGAGGGGTGGGAGGTGGCTGCAAACACCAGGTGACTAATGAGAGAAGCAGGCAGACCCAGAGCCCTCCACACCGAGGGCAAGGAACCACAAAACGAGCGCAGCCTCTGAAAGGTGGGCCCGGCAGGCTCCGCTCCTCTGCAGGCCTCTGAACGCCAGCTTGCCACACTGGCGGGCAGGCACTGGTGCGGAGGCGGGCAGAGGAAGGGGAACACTTGTTTCACAGGCTCGCTGCTTCCCGGTGGGCGGGCGGGCGGGCGGGCGGCCATGTGCTTTCTTCAGGCCAGAGCAGAACCGGTAAGGAGGCAGAGGCAGCAGTGGCAGCAGCAGAGGAGTTTGCGAGCCAGGAGGGCGGGCAGGTGGAGAGGGCAGCGGTTCCTGAAGCGAGGGGTCTGGGTGGGTCTCGGTCCGGCCAGCTTGCTCTCACTGACCGTCCGCCTTCGACTTCTTTGGAGCAGATTTCCTTGGGAGGCGGCAGAGAGGTGCTGGTGACGCCCAGCGCTTGAGCCCGGCCCCCCCCACGCGAGGCTCCCGCAGGGGCTCTCCACCTACATTTCCGGAGAGGACATGGGCCGCTTGCTGGCCGGCTTGCTGCCCGAGCTGTCCTTACTGGTCTCTGGAAGGGATGGGAGGGCAGGGAATGAGTGCTCCTCTGCCAGAGTGGGCTCTGGGACTGGGGCCGGGCGGGCGGCTCACCTTGCAGCCACCTGACTTGCGTGGCAGGGCCATAGCCCTTCTCGTTGCGCGCAGCGATGCGAAAGATAATGGCAGGCTTGGTGGTGTAGTCGATGTGCGCGTTGGACAGGCTGGAGGACTGCACGAGGCACGAGGGGCTGGGCCCACAGTACACGCGCATGAAGGCCAGCTGTGCAGGCGCAGAGCTCTTGGGCTCGCCCCCTGCCTGCGAGCTCTGGATGGCCAGGTACACAGAGTACTCGATGATCTTGCCCGAGGTCACGGAGGGCGGCTCCCAGGTGAGGTGAGCACCATCGGGACTCTGTAAGCAGGGAGAGGGATGTGCTCAGCTCCGCCTCTCAGCGGCCACCGCAGGCTCCAGCACACGGCCTGCCCCAGGGCCACAGGGGCCGCTGAGCACATACATCAGAGCCCCCAAAGCTTTGGAGAAAGCCGCCCCGAGGATTCACAGCCTCCCTGTGCACTTCGGGAGCTGGACATAACGGACCCTGTCCCCCAGGATGTTTCTAGGCCAAGAACAGAAGGTACTGAACAGCACAGGGCACCAGTCGACAAACTCAAGAGGCTAGGGAAAGGACTCTTCTTGTCTCCTGGACAACCGATGACAGAGGCCAGACTGCCAACTCTGTCCCCATTCAGGACCCGCCCCCAGCGCCCACCTCCTGCCGCAAGACTCACTTTGCTGATTTTAATGGCACAAGGGGCCCCCGGAAAACCCGGCAGACAAGTCTTAAAAGCAGAGATCTCACTAAAGGGCCCTCGGCCGCAGGCATTGATGCCAGCCACACGGAACTTGTAGGCTGTGCCTGGCTGTAGTTCCTGCTTCTTCAGTTGGTTGTAGTCAGGGACAGTGCCCGAGTCGTCCTGGGGACAAATGAGAGAATAGGAGACCTGCTGTGAGGTGGCAGCTCTAGAGGCTGGGAACACAGCTTCAGCCCCAGGAACACTGAACACTGTACAGCTGGCTGTCTGCAGAAACACGGGGAAGCCAGGACAGAGGCCAGGAGCAACAAGGGCAGGGGAAAGGAGGGGACATGGACCAACGCTGGACACCGCAGAGGGACACAGAGCCTGGGCTTCCTGCTACGTAGCAGAAGGTCCTGGGCCTGGGTGCGTTAAGTCCACAGGTAGCCCCCACTCTGGGTGACAGGGCCAGGGCTACATGCACATGGCCGCCACCCAGAGTGGCCAGAATCCACCCAAGAGAGCCAGGGCCCGAGAACACTTACATCTGATGGGACAGCATCATCTGATGGCAGGAAATAATGTGTCACCATTACATTAGTGCCCTTAATGACCCCCACATCAAACCACTGGTTCTCCTTCTTCACTGGGGCTTTGCTGGGTGGTGGTGGCAAGTCCGACTTCTGGAAACCAGAAACAAGAGAAATAAGGCAGGTCCTTGGCCCTCAGAGCCTGGAGGCATCATCGTACCCTATGACCCCAACACCCCAACTCACCACACCCAGGGACTCAATGCCATTGGCCACTTCAGTCAGGGTAGCTGCAGCTTGCAGCTTGGCTGGGCTGGCGACCACAACTGGCTGGGGAGCCACAAATGTGTTGGACGGGGCCAAGCCTAAAAGCAAGCACCACGAGCGGGTGGGCTCAGGACCCTGACACTTCCCAGCCCCACCCAGGAACCCTACCCCAGGTTGAAACCTTGCTTACTCTCAGTGGCTGTCGGGGGCAACAGGGCCACGGTGCTGGGTACAGCACCAGCCAGCTCGTTGAGGCAGTTGCCTTCGATGGCTGGGTCATTGAGGCTGTCGGCTGGGGCCAGGGCCTCAGTAGGGAGGTGGTGCTGCTGCTGGGCCTGGGCCTGGGCTTCCTGCAGCTGCTGCTGCTGCACCAGGGCTGCCAGCTCCTGCTGCGTCAGCACAATGGGGATGGTGGTGGCCTGGCCTTCCTGGCCCTCAGCAGAAAGGTGACCCAACTCTGCCTGCGTTACAGCTGCCGCCGCCTCGGATGTGTCCATGGGCTCC